GTTCGAGAATTTAGCACTATTCAGTATTTTGAGTGGTGCTCAAACGAAAAAAATGCTATCAGAGATTCAAAAAGCAGGTTCTGTAGAGAATTCAATTCTCTATCGAATGAGACTAGAACCAGATTTTTAGATCATTCGAAAGTGGCTTAAACATAAAGAACAAAAGTGTCCCATTTATTATGCGCCACCCGTTAACATAGTATCTTGTCGATTTTAATTTTAAATTTATTCGATTCGTATTTGTTTTTTTTTGTTTTTTTCTTCTTCTGATCATTGAAGTTTAATGAGGCAACCTTTCTTATTTACGTCAATCACTTACATAGACGGGGTCTTTTTTATCTTCACAAAGTGGTAATAATAACACTATTAACATCAATAAATACAAAAAAAATAATGAAAAAAATTTAAAAATAAGATTAATGATACTTCAAATTTGGTAGTTATTTTGAATATAAAACTAAAACTACATCTACTATTTAATTCTTCTTTAGAATTAGAATAAATGAACGATGAGTAGTTAATAGTGACCATCTTTAGTAAAATCATTGTTGACTGCTATAATTTCATGAATAAAATTTCACATTCAATGTTAAAACTCTAAATAAACACTTTTCAATTGATAATCTAAGTATTGACAATGTAGGATTATTTATTAATCGAATCATATAAGATGTTGAAAATATATTTAATATAGTATTTGACATATTGTCTGTCGACATCGATTCACTTTTTATGTTTTCTTCTTTTTTTTTTTTAATATATTCCTATTTTAGTCATAAAAAGAAGAAGAAAAAAAAAATATGCTCTAAATCTGATTTTTGATAATAAATTTATAAAAAAAATAATAAAATTAATTAAAATTTTACTTTTACTTTTGTAGTTAGATTAGAATGTAGTTTCAAATCAAACTTCATTCTATTTGTAGGAATAATAATTCGAAATTTATCATCAAAAATTTTTCTATATTAACCTAATGGAAAACGAGAGAGATAGATGGGAAATAAATAACCGAATATGTACGTACTTGGCATCAATGAGAAGGTAGATAATATATTATTTAGAAATACGATGAATTTTTTCAACATCAAAACAGTGTGCAACTTTATTCTTGTAATAAATGTTAAACTTTATATTATTACTACTTAAACATTTATTTTCTTCTAGTATTTGCTAACGTTTGTGTGAACAAACTCATAAAAAACATTTTCAGAATTTATACAATATCATGAAAAGTTAAATATCAAATTGGGAATAAAACTAAAAAAAAAAAATTTGTCAAATTTTATCGACCAACTAATTTTTAAAGAGAATAAAGTTCATTAACATGCAAATACTTGACATTGAAACGTCCAATAAAGCTTCGCTCAAACTCATATATTGGTAAAATACGATTATAGAGATCCATTTAAACTTTCAAACCATAAAATGGTTAAACTATAAAATTATACCGTATATCGTTTGGCCATTCTTTCTTTTCTCATTTGATTGAATATTTTTTTTTAAAAACTTATGTTCAACATGCGAACAATAATAGCAAAATGATGACAAAAAAGTCTGATACACAATGTATTTGAAAAATTGTTCTATTTTGTTTTTAGATCGTACAACATATTATAAAACTATTGAGCACAAAAAAAATAATAAAACACATGTAATGGGATGAATTAAAGAAAAGAAAACAAATAATAATGATAAAGAAATTGTCTGATGTTTGTATGTGAGTAAAAAGAGTAAAAAAAAAATTCATAATAATAAAAGAGCAAAACATCAATATTGAAAGCTACCTGTTTTAACAGAATAAACATAAGGGAGAGAAAGAGAGAAACCACCGCTATGAAATATCAAGTTTTCAGCCGGATTGTCTTAAATATAAATATATACATATATATTTAAATTATAGAAGGAAGATGCATGACAAAAATATTTTGGAACGAATAGTTCCAGAAAAATTGAATAAATATAAAAAAAAAGACATCAAAAGTATTTTTGGAAGTAAAAGAAACTTAACGAGGTAAGTAATGTATTGAGCCATGTTTTTTTCTTTTTTTTATTGTTTGGAAATGATTGTAGACACGTACAGATAAAAAAGCTATCCATAAAACATATAAATTAATGAGCTCTCTTGTTTTTTGGAGTTTTCTTCTTTCCAGGTGAATGACATGGATCCAACTAAAATGTTCAATAGAAAAACAAAAAACGAAAAAATAAAAAAAGAATAATATAACAACAATAAATGAAAGCATGAACTGTTGATTTTATCGCTCAGCTTATCTGCGTTAGCAGAGAAAAAAGAAATAACAGAGTAGCAGTAGCAATAATACGTAACAAAAATAAGTTGTATAGCAGACGACTCATGCAAAAATACAGGTTACACAAAAAGAAAGCTGTGTTAGTTTTTACCAAAAATTTCCCCATAGATAAAGTTATTTAAATTCCTACCTATAAAAAATTTGAGCACATCCTTTTTTTTTAACCTCATAGTGGAAGGTGTACGGTATAGTATCCAATTTGGAAAAATGACCAATACATTAAATAGAAGTTCATATGATTTAACAGACTAATAAGTATCAACGTTAAATGCAACTGTGATCCTTGAATATAGTATATCTTTCTGAAAAACTAGATCAATTAACAATGAATGCCTCAATGAGATCAATAAATAGTAAATTTTTAAAGTAATTAATTTTGTTTGCAGACACAATAAAAGAACAAGATTTAGTTTTATTTTTCGTTTTCATACCGATGCATCAAATTCTAACATTGTTTCAGCTATTGCTTTTTGTATACCATCTGTTGGACTGGGATTAATCATTTGATGAGTACGAAAGTCTTCTTGTTTCATACGATTTAAACGTGATCGCGTAATTTCAACAATTGTATGATCTTGTTCACGTTGTTGTTGTAATTGTGCTGGTGTGAAATCTGATTCATCAACTGGTATCACAATGTGTGCAGGAGAACCATCTGGTTGTGGTGATGGTGATGCTGTTGAATTTTCCAAACCACCATGTGTTTGTTGTAATGGTTCGCGTTCGGTACCAGTTTTCCTACTACTTGATTTCGGCATTGATGTTATTTCAACCCATGCCTTTTTTCTACAACGTTTTATAAAAAATTTAGCTAAGTAACCAAGTAGACCAATTAGGATAATAATTCCAGGAATTCCGACACCTAAAAAAGAAAAAGAATTGACATTTTATTAATAAGAAAATGAATTTATAGATTCAGTCCTTTAAGATCAAAATCGAAACGAACTGACTGTTGGTTGAAGACGAAATTTTATTTCTTAAAAAATACTAAAAACATTTTGACTTACCTAAAATAATTGCTAATTTATTAACCATGCTCACTTATTAAATATGTAAGATTCATTCAATGAAATAGAAATGAAAGATAAACCATGTATAAGTATGTACCAAAAATTTAATCCATGTTATAACCGCATAATAAAATTGATCAAGAAATTAGTAGCGGAAAGAAAAATTAGATGGTCTGGGAATCTACAGGGTCAAATTTATCTGAAATATACACACACAAAATAGAGCTTTACAAATTTTTTTTACAACAACAGCTGACCGATCGATTGGTTGAATTCTGAGATAAATCAATTCATTTGTGATGCTACAATTTAACTCAAAAGATGTAAAGTATACTGTAAAGCCGCTTTGATTTCAATTGTTCTATTTCCAGAGTAAGTATTCAGTGTCGTTCAATCACACGAACAAAGCAGTATTTAAATGAGCAGAAATTTCACATAGTTAATCAGAACTTTTAATTTATTATCATCAACTCAACTTAGACTATTACGTTTTTGAGAACAAACTACCGTCGAATCTGAATAACATGACTATTGTTGATATTTTAGCGGATATAGTTTGACATTCTTGCTTTTGAAAAGTGCAACAGGATTCTGCTATTAGTAGTTAGATTTTCATTCTTTTCCAAAAACGAAAGTGATGAATATAAAAATTCACCTTTTTTTGTTCTTTTACAATGATAAGAGTAGATAACATAGATAACAGTGTAAAAAATAAGATTTTTTTTTCTTACTTTGTCGTTTAGTAGAACGTCTCTAATGTTCTTTCAAGGTCTTTTCTCTTTCTCCTCACCAATGTAAATGATATTAAAAGATCTGCTTTTTTTTCTCCTATCAAAGTGTACAATTCTCTTTGAAGATTGAGCATCAAGGAAACTAATGACAGACTTTGTTTTATGTACAGTTAATAGTCAGCTAGTTATTATTATCAAAAACTAGAAGACTATAACATCTATAAACGTTTCTTTTTTTATTATAACTTTGTACGATGCGGTGCTTAAAAAAAGTAGATAAATTAATGTTCTTATTTGATAAATGAATCTCTAGTTGAGAAAACAAACATTCTAGGAAGTTAGCTGACAACAGGAATAGATGAAAAAGATCGTATTTCTATCATGATAGGTAATCAACAACAACTATGTATTAGATGATAAATTTTTTTTTTTTATAAAAGAAACAAAAGTAAAACTACAACTAGATACCTTGTAAATAAAATGTCAACAATTTTTGAAATACATCGGGATTATACTTTAAATGTTCTGTTACATAACGTTGAAGATTTCGTTCTGTTCCATATCTTGGATTTTGAACAACCATCGATGGTCGATCAGCATATAAATAATTATTTTTATCTATCCATACATAATTGACACGTGACTCATCATCAGAAAAATTCATTGTATTTAATTGATAAATAACAAAATGAAATAATTCATCTAACATAAATATTCCTTGTACAGTAACTGGTTCCGTTAATACACCATCTGGATATCTATGTTGTGCTTGTGCTAATGCATTACCAAATGAAAACATAACCATTTGAGCTAATCGTTCATCAATGGATGATTCATGAATTAATTCATCAAATGATACGTAATAAAACGTATGTAAATATTCTTGTTTATTATCCACTCGTTGATTCCATCCTAATTCATAACCTTCTTGATATAAATGTTCTTGTTCTAAATCAATGGTCGGATATATTGGATACATGTTTAAAAACTGATAGTCATTTGCCTTAATTAAATAATGTAAATCTGGATCATGAGTTGATAATTGATCACTTAAAATTTGTTCACCTTCTGCTAATCTCTTCCATCCTTCATCATTAATTAGACGCTTTACAACTGGTTTTAGAGGTTGAGGATTTGTTATGATTAATTGATTTTTTTTTCGTATATGTATTATTTCATCAGCTCGTTGATATGTCGTATAGAATGGTGTATTTTGATAGAGATTTCGTTGAAATAATTCTGGATATTTGCTACCGACTGATTCGCATAAGCCAAGCATATTCTCAAGTAAAATAGACATTTGTCGATGTCGTGGAATACCTAAAATAACATGTATAAAATATGGTCTAAACGAGCAAAAACAAAACGAAGTAGAATTTGGAAAATAGTTTTAAATTTCTTACAAATTAGAATTTATGGACTAGTGGCAACATTCTACTTACTCCATTCACGTTTAAAAGTACGACGTTGTTTCAATGGTGTATATTTATTGGGTAGTTCTTCTTTAGTTGCATCATATGCTATTGCTTGTCGAATATAAGATTGAACAAGTTGATCTTGATTTGGTATCGTTATTTTATTAATATTTTGATTAAACGATTCAGGTAAATTATAAAATGGAACTGTTTTTGTTAATATGCATGCTTGATCAACACCGGCATGCAATTTTGTTTTCTCATCAAATAGAAATACGGATTTATTATGGTGATAAAGTGGATGTTGTTCACGTTTTGGTTTGGGAACTAGATATTCAAACATTGGATGACGGGTTGGACTAATCCATGGTGTTTCAGTCGGAAGTTGTGGATGTAAGGGATCAATTATTTCAAGGTTTTTTTCTTCAAATACTTTTGGTATAACTAATTTTGGTTCGTTAAGTTGACCTTTCTCCTGCCAAACCCATTTCCATTGACGATGAATTGGTTTCGTATACTTTTTAAGTAATCCTCGTAATTCATTTAAAGTTGGCATTTAAAGCCTATTGTTCAGGTAGAGTCTAAAACAATGGAAATAAAAAACTCAAAATTAAATATATTAATTTTAGCCAATGCTTTTTTCGAATTGAGAGAAAAGTATATTGGAAGTATAGTATAATATTATATTTAAAAGCTAAGCTACATAGTCGTACGGCTTAATCAATCAGTGAGAAAAACACATCTTTATCATGTTCAAAAACAGATTTAAAAATAAATTAGACAAAGCACAGATCAAAGCCGTCTCTTACATTATCTTGAAATTTTTCTCACGTTTGGTGAGTGTGGTGTTTTCAATGAAAATTTCGAATTTAAATGTATTTGTACATGACCTAAAAAATTCGTTGTAGATGCTGTGTTTTACTATTTTGTTAATAACACGTTCGAAAAACACACAGTAAAACATAGAACGGGATACAGAAATCAATAGAGAACAACCACGCTATACTGTTATACTACAAAGGTTTATCACTCATCGTTTTACTTCGCGTTTAAAAAGATAAAAACTAAACCGTTGATATTCACTCTTTGGTTTCAATATTATCCTCCGTATTATACATATCGACATAATCGATAAAAGACCTCATGAAATCGACTAATATATCTAATTTAGTTTGAAAATCGTTGCATAACCGTCTCTAACAGTTATCTTCGATATCATGATAAAAATCATTTTAAAGATAACATTGTAACTCTTATCCGAATATCACTTTAGCATAACATACTTCATCTGGTATTAAAAGCAAAAACACATTTATCTGCGGTGTTTGTGGGTCCAAGGAAACTAGGTGCAAGAATGGTGAGTAGACCAATGTTCGAATGCAAACATGCACAGAAAATAAAAGATGCATTTGAATCCAAATCATTAACATCAGGATCAACATCAGATCCAGGGACAACAGCAGCCTCGTTTGTTACTGTTTCCAACAACAGTGAACAAATTTTAACACATGACGAAAAGATATGTCGTTCTGAATCTCTGTGGTTATTAGAAACAACTCGGCATGAATACAATTATAATTTAAATGATAATATGTCGGAATTATATCCAGGCAATGTTTCCGACAGTAACATAGCGCGAGACTTCACAATGATATCAAGAAAATTATCGTATGTTATATCTCACAGTATTGGTCAATATTTCACAGGACAACTGGTAAAACATGTAAAAAATGCACAAGGATACACACCGATTTTCGATGAAACAGTAATCGTTGGCATGAAAAAACAACTGGATCTACATCAGAAGAAAGCAATGCCATAGCTACACGTTATTACAAAAGTGTTCTACTCGGTCATGCCACAGATGATATAATGTTCAAGGAAATTTTTGATACATTAAAAACAGATGGAATTGAAATAAGAAAAAATGCTTATGTTAAGTACAATGACGAAAAAGTAGTAAAGTAGCTCTTCAACGGTGCTCTTCTCCCTCTTTAAACTCTTGCTTTTGAACCGTCTCCAGAATCTCCGACACACATCTTAGATGGTCACATTTTTCTTCATGATTGTCTTTGTAGGAGGTGATAATCCGAATGTTAATAAAGCAGTCAAAGGGCTAATCGATGGAGCCATTAAGACAGCCAGACAGCAGCAAACAAATTCAATAAAGTATGATCACTTAGCATCCATTTAGGATTATATTTAATTCTCAATATTCATCTTGTATTTCAGAACGATTGAAGCTGAACCAATAACGGGTTTAATTAAAATAGGGTCTTGTCTGCTGCACATCGTTCATAACAGTCTCAAAAATGCACTGTTAAACAGCAAATGGAATATCGATGTATTTGTTTGTACGATCTGTGGTGCTGGTTTTCGAAGTCGGTAGCATTGCGGGGGGATTATCAAAAAACGGGCAGTATAATAACTGACAGTGTCAGTAAATTTATGAATTGCTTTGTTAATACTCCGTGAATCGAAACTGGTACTGTAATTGAACGTGTATTAGATCAGTGAAAAATCATCGACCAGTATTTTTTAGTTTTTTCTTTCGTAAAACAATAGACAAATCTATTTAAGATAATCAAAAATACAATAAAATTAAAGTCTGTATTAAATCAAATGTTACAGAAGTCGACTAAAATTTATTCTTTATCTATATAAGAATATTTTCGAAAAGAGTTTAACGTAGTTTCAGCAACAACAATCGCTGACTCGTTTACGTTAACTCGTTAGTATACAACGAATGTTCTGAACTTCTACGTTCTGTTATATTATCATTTATCAAAAAAGATTTGATGTCTCATCTAATCCCAAACTTTTCTAGCAGCAGTTCTAGAATCGGGAAGACAATGCCTTATCTGTCAACATCTGATGATAATATATTGATCGTTTAAAGAGGAATAGACAACGTATGAAATGGAAAATATTCTTAAAGAATACATTGTACTGCAAAATTCTAAGATCTATCGGGTATCAGACAAACAATCTATTTTGAAACATCGTACTTGTTCAGGGATAGAAATTTTAGAATGAATAGAATAGTAACAGCAGCTGCTGTTACTATTTTATCAAAACAATCTCAATATTATTAAACAATCTGGTTATTATTGCCAAAGAATATTTGCTTTACCGGTACATCGAAATATATAATTATGTCAAAACTAATTAAATGTTACCTCTCATTGTCATACAGAAACACAGATGTTAAATGAAACATCGATCAATGACTTATGAGCTGGGAGGGGAAAGGAGATTTTATGGTGATGGTAAATCACAGAAGTACACAAATGCTGATCGAAGAAGGAAACAAAAACTGCTTGCTGCTGTGAAACAACTTACAGAAAAACAGGGACGAACTCAATCAACTACAAAAAAATTCAAAAAATAATCTAATAACTTCTACTAACTTCTGCTAAAATATTTTTTATCGTCTTTGTTCTTGTTATTAGCTAATGCAATACTCGTCATGTTCTAAACTGCAAGTGAAGAAAAACAATTTTGTTTTCGGTCCCAGTCCCGTGGAAAGAACTCGTTTTTGATCCTGGATCCGAGGTCCCATAAATATTTTTTCAAAGTAGTGTTGATAGTTTGAAAGTCAACGCGTTGTAATGCGGCTCGTGGATCATCTAACAGGACTGGGACAGTCCCGCAGATCTCTAGGCCCCGGTCCCATGAAGTTTGGTGCAGTCCTGTAAAAAAGATTTTTCCGGGCCCCGGTCCCGTACAAAGTCCCACGGGACCGGGATGGAACGGTTCCACTGACCTCTACAGCTAACACAGGTAAAAAAACGTTAAAATTCAAAATCTGGAAAAAGCGACCGAATCAGAACCTTTTCAGAAGGAGTAGAAGAAAATCAGGAAATCAGGACTGCTGCGACCCCTGTGTTCTTGAGAAAATAAATCAGTAAGAATTTTACTTTTAGAAAATGAGTTAGAGTTTACAATCAGATGTCTCTTCGTTGTTAGAAGTCCAGGCTAAAAACACTGAAATCTCTTAATAACAATCATAGAATAAATAACACCTCGTCTGAAAATCAGGATCACCAATCGCACTTGCAAAAAATAATTTAGATGAGATCCTAAGGTTAATTCAATGGTTCCATCAGACAACAGAGGTAGCGCCAGTTCTGTGGGGAAACATGACTTTCTACTCAATTTTTCTGTTAGCTTAGAAAAACAACTGTAGAACGTAAATTCAAATCGGTCAACTACTAGCAAGCCGCAACCTTTGAGAGTACTCAACGGCTTGTCCACTTTTTGAAACTTGTATTTCAATTTCCTCACCTAGACACTTTTCCTAATAAAAATGGAAGGCCACACTAATCGATAGAGAATTCCATTCTCTACAAGATCGTATGTTTCTTTTGAAGTTTGGACTCAAAACAAGCTTTTTAATAAAGTTTTAAGTTTTAAGATTCTCACGCAATTGTAAGAAAGTGAAAACATTTTTTCAGCTTTATTCTCACGTTAGTCTATATTAGATGCCTAAAGCTAAGTCCGATATGAAAATTAAATGCTTTGAGCAATGTTTAGTGTTCCAGACTTTGCTGGAAAAAAAAGTGTGTCACAGCGTCACCACGATAAAACACAATTATTGAGGGATAGAAAACTCATTGGAAAGATTCTTTTTTAAGAATCAGTAGCTCGTTTACTCCTCTATAAACTTTGCTCGAGGTGCTTTTTAATAGCTCTTCTAAATTCGCAGTAAATTAACTTTTAATGAGAAGAACTTCGAATTTAGAGCCCTTTTTTGTCACAGCGTCACACGCCGAATCGAATGGCGCAAGAACGAATTTTCTAGCTCTTACACTTTTTGGGAAAAGCTCAAATTACCGTGTCAAAAATGTCACAGTGTCACGCTTGGACAAGCCGTCAAGTCAGTAAGTAGCACAATTTTAGGAGAAATATCAAAATATAAATGGTCTATTAAAGATTTAGATCTGAACGCTGTGAAAGCTAATTCTGAAAAACGTGTAGTGTGAGCGAGACCTTATAACAACCGGAAAGTCGTCTTGTCTCATAATATACTATGAAAAAAGGATTGTCATTTTCTATTCGTTGTTGACACTTAACGAATTACAATCACTAAAAGACCTCTTTTTAGAATTATTTTTTCGTTCTAGATGGTGCATTTGTTCAGAGCATATGCATTAATATTTTTCTTTACCGCTTATTAGTGATTAGTTCTTTATAGTATTCATGAAATATTATGTTCAAGTACCAGGAAGAAGCCTGACCTGGTCATGTAGCAAGTAGCAAGGACAGAAAGAAAAAAAAAATCAATCATTACATGTGAAAAAGGTGAGCAAGCTTATTAGATTAGTATCTTCGAGTCGTTATCTCAAATGTTCATCAATCGTTTCGTAACTCGGTTAAATTTGAGTTTAGGTTTTATTTTTTTGACAGTCGGGTAGAGTATTCCTAAACAATGTTTCCCACCGCAAAGCGTGTACACTAAAAAATAACGGCACACTTTGCGAAAAACAACAGAGTGTATACGTACGTATACGAGCCGTAAAGTGTACGTGTACTATAAAATCTTATTAGAGACACTTTTGAAAAGAAAAGCGGTTCAGATCGTGTCTAATAATTCATACTTTTCGGATTCATCCTAACAGATTCTTGTGCAAAATCCATACCAGTCTTGCTTGAGATCTGTAAATTGAACAATCTACGTTGATCGAAATTTTATTTATAGGGCTATTCAACTTAACTCTGCCACCGCAACGTGAATGCATTACCACTTTTGTTGTTATCATTTGTGTTTTAATATTTGAAGGAACCATTGTAAAAAATTTTCAGAAGCATCTTGTCTTGTAACTGAAAGTGTGCTTTTCATAATCCACTCTAAGATTAACTTGAATCACTCAACTTACTATACGGTAAAATTCGTTTTTTTCGGGGATGTTGATATTTAGTTTGTAGTGCAAAGAAGATCGAGTGATTCAGAGCGGATTGTAAAGAGTACACTTTCGGTTACAAGACAAAATGCTTCTCAAATTTTCACAATGCTTCCTTCAAATATTATAACACAAAAAATAACAGAGTTATATGAAATGATCCTATAGTAGTATATCGTAGTTCCTTTTCATGTAAGAAAATGAGTAGCAGATAATACATTAAACGGCTCTTTTTTTAAGGGAAAAAAACTATCTTCTGGTACACTCGATATGAGAAGAAAAAAAATTTATTAGATGAACATCTTCCCTTAAACCACCTCCTTAGTTATTTCTATAGTTGAAATTTTGTTTTAGAGTTCGAGCAGTTGTTAGCAGTATGTATGAATGTTTTACAATCATTAACGTGCTGTTCTGCAATACCAGGCAGAGAATGTATTACAGTAAATTGTGCAAAAGAATACCACAATGAAAGACTGTCTGCTTCATTATCGTCGATAATAAGAACAATGCCGACGAATGAACACGAAGATATTACATTACATATCAATAATCATCGAAGATTTTCAACGATTGTGGCAAAAGCACTTCCAATACCGGGAAATGGAGAAACATCGTTTTTAAATATATCACCGTCGGAAATCCGTTTAGCAAATCAATCAGCCATCACATTATCATGGAAAATTGTTGATGAAACAACGGTGAATGATACAATTAGTATATTCAGTACTGGTAATGGAAGCAAAATAACAACAATGACCATTATTAAAAATGAACAATTTTATTTTATTTAGATAGTCTAAATTTAGCTGATGCTATTGATCATCTATTTCTTAATTTAAACGCAATCAAGATTGGACAATATCATTGGCACTTCAACGCGATTCGGGAAAAATTATCACAATGTATGACGAGATATTTT